AACCCTTCCAGTATTTTCTGTTGGTCATGGGAGTTCTGTGTGCCAAGTTTGGTTCAATTCCATCGTTGGTGGAATTCAGAATGCTCTTTGGTTGTAGGTGAACTATAAATCCCAGCAACTACAACTCCCAAATCTCAAGGTCTATTTTCCCCAAACTCCACCAGTGTTCACATTTGGGCATATTGAGTATTCGTGCCAAGTTTGGTCAAGAGCCATCATTGTTTGAGTCCACAGTGCTCTCTGGATGTAGGTGAATTCCAACTCAAGGTCAATGGCCACCAAACCCTTCCAGTATTTTCTGTTGGTCATGGGAGTTCTGGGTGCCAAGTTTGGTTCCATTCCATCGTTGGTGGAATTCAGAATGCTCTTTGGTTGTAGGTGAACTATAAATCCCAGCAACTACAACTCCCAAATCTCAAGGTCTATTTTCCCCAACTCCACCAGTGTTCGCATTTGGGCATATTGAGTGTTCATGCCAAGTTTGGTCGAGAACCATCATTGTTTGAGTCTACAGTGCTCTCTGGATGTAGGTGAACTACAACTCCAGATCAATGCCCACCAAACCCTTCCAGTATTTTCTGTTGGTCATGGGAGTTCTGTGTGCCAAGTTTGGTTCCATTCCATCATTGGTGGAGTTCAGAATGCTCTTTGCAGGTTGACTATAAATCCCAGCAACTACAACTCTCAAATGACAAAATCAATCCCCCTCCCCAATTCTACCAGTATTCAAATGTGGGTGTATTGGGCATGTGTGCCAAATTTGGTCCTGTGAATGAAAATACATCCTGCATATTAGATATTTATATTATTATTCATAACAGTAGCAAAATTACAGTTACGGAGTAGCAATGAAAATAATGTTATAGTTGGGGGTCACCACAACATGAGGAACTGTATTAAGTGGTCGTGGTATTAAGAAGGTTGAGAAACACTGGCTTAGAAGGTATTCAGGAATAGAAATCTTAAGGCTGGGTTGCTGTGGGTTTTCTGGGCTTTATGACCATGTTTTAGAAGCATTCTCTCCTGACATTTCACCTGCATCTGTGGCAGGTATCCTCAGAAGTTCTGTTGTCAGTGAAGCAAGTGAAGTGTATATATATCTGTGGAATGTTCAGGGTGGAAGAAAGAACCCTTTTCTGTTTAAAGAAATGGTGAATGTTATAGTTAGCCGGCTTGAATTAGCATTTGAGTAGCTATGAAGTTTGCACAGTCAATCAGTGAGGATATCTGCATAGAGGTAGCCTGGGGTTTGTTGCCTGGAGGTACCCGCTATTTGGGATCCTCAGAGGTTGTGAGGTCTGTTGGAAACTAGGCAAGTGGGGTTTATATATCTGTGGAATGATGTCCAAGGCAGGGGAAAGAACTCTTGTCTGTTTGAGGCAAGTGTGAATGTTTGGCATTGAATAGCCTTGCAGCTTCAAAACCTGTCTGCTTCCTGCCTGGGGGAATCCTTTGTCGGAAGGTGTTAGTTGGCTCTGATTGCTTCTTGTCTGGAATTTCCCTTCTTTACTGAGTGTTGCTCTTTATTTGCTGTCCTGATTTTAGAGTTTTTTTTAATACTGGTAGCCAGATTGCATTCGTTTTCATGGTTCCTTCCTTTCTGTTGAAATTGCCCACATGCTTGTGGATTTCAATGGCTTCTCTGAGTCATCTGACATGGTGGTTGTTAGAGTGGTCCAGCATTTCTGTGTTCTCAAATAATATGCTGTGTCCAGGTTGGTTCATCGGGTTGTCCCCCTCGATGGACTGTCATCTTGTCCAAGGTGCTTGTTTATAAAGCTATTGTCTTCCCAACACACCTGCGAGACGTGGACTGTCTACAGACGTCACATGCAACTCCTAGAATGATTCCATCAGCGTTGCCTCAAAAAAATCTTGCAAATTTCTTGGGAAGACAAGCAGACAAATGTCAGCATGCTGGAAGAAGCAAAGACAATCAGCATTGAAGCGATGGTCCTCTGCCATCAACTCCACTGGACCGGGCATATTGTTCGGATGCCCAACCACCATCTCCCAAAGAAGTTGCTCTACTCCGAACTTAAGAATGCAAAACGGAATGTTGGCGGGCAGGAAAAGAGATTTAAAGATGGGCTCAAAGCCAACCTTAAAAACTCTGACATAAACACTGAGAACTGGGAAGCCCTGGCTCTTGAGCGCTCCAGCTGGAGGTCAGCTGTGAGCAGCAGTGCTGTAGAATTTGAAGAGGCACGAATGGAGGGTGAAAGAGAGAAATGTTCCAAGAGGAAGGCATGTAAAGCCAACCTCGACTGGGACTGCCTTCCACCTGGAAACAGATGCCCTTACTGCGGGAGAAGATGCAGATGAAGAATAGGGCTCCACTGTCACCTACATACCCACCGCCAGTACACCGATCTTGGAAGACAATCCTACTCGGCCAACAAGGGATTGCCTAAGTAAAGTCATCAGGTGGTCAGCAATGGCTGACTTCTCTGGTTGGATTAATCTGCAGTACCATTTATGTTCCTTGATCCATGCCTGGGCAATGCTGCTGAGTTTGGTGGTCCCTATGTAGACTTGTCCACAGCTCCTGCATAGGTGAGAGAATCCCTCATGTCCTTTTGTTGGATTTTCTTAGTGGGTCTGTAGATCATTTGTTTCTTCATCAGCTCCCCAAGCATGTGATTCTGACCATGAAAGCCTTCGACAACACAATCTTAAGGCTGATACTGTCTTCTGAAAACTATATATACTGTACGTATAATTTTGCATATGTACTCTAAAATTAATGACTAAATATGCCTTACTGTGGTAGGATTCAGACCAAGAAGCAATAAGCAGTAGGCTTTTGTGCTATCCCACTAAGCCTATGATCAGACAGATATCTGGCATTTTGTCTAGCACCCTTAAAAATGGCTAATGCTTTACTTAATATCATTTAGTAGCTGGTCTAAAGTGAGGTCATGACCCATAAAGCCCTATGCAGCTTAGGTCCAGACTGTCTGAGTTTTGAGATCCTAGGAGAGTGCTTTTCCTTGGATCCACCATCGTCACAGGCACATCGGGCAAAGCCACAACAAAGAGACTTCTCAGAGTTTGCTAGTGAGTTCCAGGGCCAGAGAAGCAGATGGCGGAAACAGAAGAACGGCCTGCCTCAGGGGAGTGTGCTTGCTCCATCCATGTTCAACATTTACACAAATGACCAGCCACTGCCAGAAGGGACAGAGAGTTTCATCTATGCAGATGATCATGCCATTACTGCTCAAGCAGGGAACTTTGAAAAGCTCTCCAAAGCTCTAGGTGTTCTCACTGCCTATTACAGGGAAAACCAGCTGATCCCTAATCCATCTAAAACACAGACATGTGCTTTTCACCTTAAGAACAGACAAGCATCCCGAGCTCTGAGGATCACCTGGGAAGGAATCCCACTAGAGCATTGCAGCGCACCCAAATATCTAGGAGTCACTCTGGACTGTGCCCTGACCTACAAGAAGAGCTGCCTGAATGTCAAGCAAAAAGTGGGCGCTAGAAATAATATCATACGAAAGCTGACTGGCACAACCTGGGGATCACAACCAGACACAGTGAAGACATCTGCCCTTGCACTATGCTACTCTGCTGCTGAGTATGCATGTCCAGTGTGGAACACATCTCACTATGCTAAAACAGTAGATGTGGCTCTTAATGAAACATGCCGCATTATCACGGGGTGTCTGCACCCTACACCACTGGAGAAATTGCATTGTTTAGCTGGTATTGCACCACCTGACATCTGCCGGGAAGTAGCAACCAATAGTGAAAGGACCAAGGAAGTGACATCTCCAGCTCATCCCCTGTTTGGATATCAGCCAGCATGTCAACGACTTAAATCAAGAAATAGTTTTCTAAGATCTACAGAGACACTTGCTGGAACACCTCAGCAAGCAAGAGTCCAAAAGTGGCAGGCTCAAACCCAGAACCTCAACCAATGGCTGATACCAAATTAGATACTGGAGGTGTCTTCCAGCCATCCCTGAAAGGCAATTTCAACCTGTGATGCAGCAAGACGTGGAGATCCAGCTTCATTCTAGTCCAGCGTTTCTCAACTTTTGGGGGTCGGGACTCCTGTGAGGGGGGTCACAAGGGGGGTTTCCGAGGGGTCTCCAAAGAACATAAGAAAACACGGATTTCTGAGGTCTTGGAATCCCTTTGACATAGAAGGCTGAAAATCTCTCTGCCTGTCCTTTTCTTCCTTTTTGGAAACAGAGCAGTGATTGGCTGGCCTCTCAGCCAAGGAGAGGGCTGTTTCTGAGACTCAAAAGTGGGGAGGTAGAACAGGTGTGCTCTCCCCTAAATCACTGTCAATTCCTCCCAAATCCCTCCAGTATTTTCTGTTGGTCTTGGGGGTTCTGTGTGGGAAGTTTGGCCCAACTCTATCATTGGTGGGGTTCAAGGGGCTCTTTGATTGTAGGTGAACTATAAATCCCAGCAACTACAACTCCTAAATGTCAAGGTCTATTTTCCCCAAATTCCACCAGTGTTTGGGCGTATTGAGTATCTGTGCCAAGTTTGGTACAGATCCATCATTGTTTGAGACCACAGTGCTCTCTGGATATAGGTGAACTACAACTCGAAAACTCAAGGTCAATGCCCACCAAACTCTTCCAGTATTTTCTGTTGGTCATGGGAGTTCTGTGTGCCAAGTTTGGCTCAATTCCATCATTGGTGGAATTCAGAATGCTCTTTGGTTGTAGGTGAACTATTAAGCCCAGCAACTACAACTCCCAAATGACAAAATCAATCCCCCACAACCCCACCAGTATTCAAATTTGGGCGAATCAGGTATTTGTGCCAAATTTGGTCCATATCATATCAGATATTTACAAGACAATTCCTAACAGTAGGAAATTACAGTAATGAAGTTGCAACGAAAATAATGTTATGGTTGGGGTTCACCACAACACGAGGAACCGTATTAAGGAGTCGTGGCATTAGGAAGGTTGAGAACCACTGCTTTAGCCACTTCCCACTAAAAGTAACTTTTCCGGCGCAATGATACTGACCATTTTCTTTTTGCCACAAAGGAAAGCATGGCACTCCAGGTTCTCGTTGTGCTGACTTTGGGCAATATAGGCAAACACCTTGTCGTGCACTTTGTCCGCCGTGCAGTAAGATATCCTGTGAACAATGACAAAGAAAGCGCACATTAAAGACCTAGACAATCAGGAGGCAGAAAGCAAAACTGTGAGAGGGGAACACTAGGCTGCACACAATCTAAACAGGGGGAAAGTTCCTTTTTTGGACTAACTCACAGCCAACGAGTTCAAGATTTCTAGTTGTTATCCTCTTACCTCTTCACCAATCTTTACAAACATACGGGCTAGAAACTAATAAAGCAAAACCCGGCAGAATGATGAAAACCTGCGTCCAACATAAAGCTTGCTATTTTGTGCAAAACTGCACCCGACTTCCATTTCAGGACTTCGCCTGAGAAATGAGAAGCAAATGAAAGTTTCAGATGCATGCCACATGCTGATTCATAAAGTTTGCTTATCATATCAAAGCCAGAAAGAATGCAATTTCCCAGCCGAAGATTTTACAACACTGGGAATGTGCAGAAAAACAAATATCCATCCATCTTCCCCAAATCTCTGTATTCTAAGGAGAATTATTTTTCATTTGCAGGGGGAATGAAAGAGAAAATGAGTGCTCTGAACTCAGGCAATCCAGCTCTTGGGACTTTAATATATCACACGAAGTAGGCAAATTAACATTGCAGCTGTACTGTCACCTCTGGTAATGGTCCCCATCACATGACGTTTTGTGCATCCTGCTGGTGTGTTTCCTCCTTGTGATTCTCCTGTCCCTAGCTATTGATATCAACAGCTCCCAATCCTGCAACATCCCCATCTTGTACCAATGGGTACCTTAAGCTTTTGTGCAACCTGATGATATAGACAAAATTCTTGGGAGAGGCGAGGGTGCCTACATGCATTTTAGACCTCTGCCCATCCTGGTTGATAAAGGGAGCCAGAGGGGGTTTGGCAAAATGGGTAAAGGTGGTGATAAAACCGCTGTTGAAAAAACCATCACTGGACCCCACTGATTTGAACAACTTTCAGCCAGTTTCCAATCTCCCCTTTTTGGGCAAAGTCTTAGAACATGTGGTTGCCTTGCAGTTCCAGGGGTTCTTGGATGAAACTGAAGGTCAATCCCAGATGGTGAAGCTGGGAGACGCCTGCACGGACCCCTGGCCTTTGACCTGTGGGGTTGCGCAAGGCTCCATTCTGTCTCCCATGCTTTTTAACATCTACATGAAACCGCTGGGAGAGGTCATCCGGAGTTTTGGAGTTGGGTGCCATCTCTATGCAGATGACACACAACTCTACTACTCTTTTCCACCTAACTCCAAGGAAGCCCCTCGAGTGCTAGACGAGTGCCAACTTTATTTTTGTACCCCACCTCCATCTTCATAGAATCATAGAATCATAGAGTTGGAAGAGACCTCATGGGCCATTCAGTCCAACACCCTGCCAAAAAGCAGGAATATTGCATTCAAAGCACCCCTGACAGATGGCCATCCAGCCTCTGTTTAAAAGCCTCCAAAGAAGGAGCCTCCACCACACTCAGGGGCAGAGAGTTCCACTGGTGAACAGCTCTCACAGTCAGGAAGTTCTTCCTAATGTTCAGATGGAATATCCTTTCTTGTAGTTTGAAGTCATTGTTCCGTGTCCTAGTCTCCAGGGAAGCAGAAAACAAGCTTGCTCCCTCATCCCTGTGACTTCCTCTCACATATTTATACATGGCTATCATGTCTCCTCTTAGCCTTCTCTTCTTCAGGCTAAACATGCCCAGCTCTTTAAGCCGCTCTTCATAGGGCTTGTTCTCCAGACTCTTGATCATTTTAGTCACCCTCCTCTGGACACATTCCAGTTTGTCAATACCATCTCCCCAAAGGGACTCGGGCAATCTAAATCAACACAGGTAAAATGTAACACATGAAGATGCATAAAACAGTATAAAACAAATTAAAACAACAACATTATAACAATATATAAAATAACAATCCAGGAGGCGGTCTGGATGAGGACGAACAAGCTGAAGATTAATCCCAACAAGACAGATGTCCTCCTGGTCGATCGTAAACCAGACCGGGGTATAGGGTGGCAACCTGTGCTGGACGGGGTTGCACTCCCCCTGAAGTCGCAGGTTCGCAGTTTGGGGGTCCTCCTGGATTCTTCACTTACGTTTGAGGCTCAGGCCTTGGTGGTGGCTGGGAGGGCCTTTGCACAATTAAGACTCATGCGCCAACTGCGACCGTACCTCGGGAGGGCGGATCTGGCCAAAGTGGTCCATGCCTTAGTCACCTCTAGACTGGATTACTGCAATGCACTCTATGTGGGGCTGCCCTTGAAAACAGCCCGGAAATTTTAGATGATCCAACGGGCGGCGGCCAGGTTGTTAACTGGGGCGCCTTACAGGGAGCGGTCAACCCTCCTGTTCAAGGAGCTCCACTGGCTGCCATTCATTTACCGGACCCAATTCAAGGTGCAGGTTCTTACCTACAAAGCCCTGAATGATTTGGGACCCGCCTACCTGCGTGACTGCATCTCTGTATACGAACCCACATGATCCCTTCGATCATCCGGGGAGGCCCTGCTCTCGATCCCACCAGCATCGCAGGCGCGGTTGGTGGGGACGAGAGAGAGGGCCTTTTCGGTGGTGGCCCCTTGACTCTGGAACTCACTCCCTAAAGACATCAGACAGGCCCCAACCTTGGCAGTCTTTAGGAGGAGCTTGAAGACGTGGTTGTTCCAGTGTACCTTCCCGGAATAATGATCCCATAACACTTTGTCTTCCAAAGCACTTTACATTTTTTAGATCTGCTCGTATGCCCTTCCACAAATGCCACTATCGCCTTTCATCCATGTCCCAGCATTATTTCTATTTTAACTTTACATTTGGCCTTCCCACTGTTTTTAATTGCGTGTTGTCTTATTGATAATGTAGTATATTTTCTTGTCTATGTTTTAATTTTAATTGCTTGTACTGTTGTTGTTTTGCTTGTATTGTTGTATTCGGGCTCGGCCTCATGTAAGCCGCACCGAGTCCCTTGGGGAGATGGTAGCAGGGTACAAATAAAGTGTTATTATTATGATCTCCGCAGAGAGCTCGACAGGGGGAATGTGTCCCTGTTGGTTCTCTTGGATCTCTCAGTGGCCTTCGATACCATAGACCAGGGGTCCTCAAACTTTTTAAACAGAGGGCCAGGTCACAGTCCCTCAAACTGTTGGAGGGCCGGATTATTATTTGAAAAAAAAACATGAATGAATTCCTATGCACACTGCACATATCTTATTTGTAGTGCAAAAACACTTAAAAACAATACAGTAATTCAAATGAAGAACAATTTCAACAAATATAAAATTATTAGTATTTCAATGGGAAGTGTGGGCCTACTTTTGGCTCATGAGATATGATTGTTGTTGTTGTTGTTGTTGTTGTGTGCTTTCAACCTGTTTCAGACTTAGGTTGACTCTGAGCAAGTGCCGGGTAAATGACCTTGGAGGGTCGCATCCAGTGCCCGGGCCATAGTTTGAGGACCCTGCCATAGACCATGTGTGCTGGTACGGCTGTATCAGGAGCTCCAACTTATTTTTCTTTCTTTGAGTGTTTGCATGTATTCCAAGATTCCATGCATTTTGCAATAAGGTGGCTTCCCTTGGTTTGCAATTATAGGGCCAATGACCCATCAATCATCATTAGGTTCTTTAGTTCCACCCCCTTTTCTGGGTTTAGGAAGGAAAAAGGGGACCTCTAGTTCAGTTCACATAGAGAAGCCTTTCGTACAGGACGTGAATCAGTTCCACCTGTAGAAAGCTTTGTCTTTTACATCTTTTGCTGGGGGGATCCAGTCCCACAGCTTTACAGCCAGCCTTCCCTGAAATTGAAGACCTTCTTTCCTCTTGGAAATCTACAAAAGGACTCTGTTTGGTAAGGACCACCCGTGGCAGCCATAACACAGTAGGGGCCCACGCCAGCAGAGCCTAAGACAGATTGCCCAGGTAGAGGTCAAGGATTTCCCTGGTAGTGAAGAAACAGTTCATGAAGATACTTGCCTGTCCCTTGTGGACAAGATTAAGAAAGCCACCAGTTGATTCAAAGCCTTGAAGTATTTGTTTGATTTATTGAAGACCTAAGCACTAATAAAGAACTTTGTTAAACTTTCCAAGTTTCTAAAGACTTCATTTAGGGAAATCCAAAGGGCCTCTAATCCGAAGTACCCCCAGCGTCCCGTTGGGCATACAGAACACATCCTGTCTACAGACCTTTTCACAGGCCTAGCGCGTGACAGCACACCATGGCATCCTTCTGGGTCACCTCACGAGGATGGGTCTTGGAGGTAATATTAATAACAACAACTTAATTTTTGTACCCCACCTCCATCTCCCCAAAGGGTAAGCTCAATCAACACAGGTAAAATGTAACACATTAAGATGCATAAAACAGTATAAAACAAAATAAAACAACAACATTATAACAATATTTAAAATAACAATAAAAACCAACAACCAATAACAAAGTTCAATTTCTCATCACGGGTGGGCAGACTGGTGTAACAATTTAAAGGATAGAGCTAGTGGGTAAAGTGCATAGGTCATACAGCAGCAGTAAGGATAAAAGCAATGTAAAATAATTAAAAAAAGGTAAGGTAGTCCCCTGACATTAAGACCAGTCATGTCTGACTCTGGGGTGTGGTGCTCATCTCCATTTCTAAGCCGAAGAGCCAGCGTTGTCCGTAAACACCTCCAAGGTCATGTGGCCGGCATGACTGCATGGAGCGCCGTTACCTTCCCGCCGGAGCGGTACCTATTGATCTACTCACATTTGCATGTTTTCGAACTGCTAGGTTGGCAGAAGCTAGGGCTGACAGCAGAAGGTCACGCCGCTCCCCGGAATCGAACCTGCGACCTTTCAATCAACAAGCTCAGCAGCTCAGTGCTTTAACTCACTGCGCCACCGGGGGGTCCTATGTAAAATGCTGTAGGTCATTTCTAGTTTTATTTATTTATTTATTTATTTACTGCACTTGTTAACCGCCGCTCTCAGCCCTAGGGCGACTCGCGGCGGTGTACAACAATCTAAAAACAGGTACAAAACAGCAACACAATCAAAAT